GAAAGCTGAATATTGCAGAGGAGCCCATGGAGATGCATCAGTATAAATTCATAGAACTGAGACTTAGAATGCAGAGGATGGAATCTGAGGATTTTGTCCATAAGACTGTAACGGACTACCCACTGCAAAATGAGGTATCACTCTGTTACTGTATCCTCAGACAGATTTTTAAAGATTACATCTTAGGATCACTGCATATCATTCGTTTAGTCTGCTTCTGTGGGGTTTGTTAAAAAAAATGCTTTTTATATGTTGTTAATTTCTTAAACTGTTATTCTGAGAAGAATGTTAACATGTCCGGTGGGTGAGGAATTGGTTAGATGGTCGCATCCAGAGGGTAGTGGTCAACGGCTCAATGTCCAGATGGAGACTGGTGACGAGTGGTGTCCCGCAGGGGTCCGTATTGGGACCGGTACTGTTTAATATCTTCACCAATGACATAGACAGTGGGGTCGAGTGCACCCTCAGCAAGTTTGCAGATGACACCAAGCTGAGTGTTGCGGTCGACATGCCAGAGGGACGGGATGCCATCCAGAGGGACCTGGACAAGCTCAAGAAGTGGGCCCGTGTGAACCTCCTGAGGTTTAACAAGGCCAAGTGCAAGGTCCTGCACCTGGGTCGGGACAACCTCCGGTATCAATACAGGCTGGGGGATGAAGGGATTGAGAGCAGCCCTGCCGAGAAGGACTGCAGCCCAGAAGGCCAATCGTATCCTGGGCTGCATCGAAAGAAGCGTGGCCAGCAGGTCGAGGGAGGGGATTCTGCCCCTCTACTCTGCTCTGGTGAGACCCCACCTGGAGTACTGTGTCCAGCTCTGGAGCCCTCGGCATAAGAAAGAGCAACCTGATCTAGTTGAAGATGTCCCTGCTCATTGTAAGGGGGGTTGGACTAGATGACCTTTAAAGGTCCCTTCCAACCCAAACTATTCTATGATTCTATGATTTCCAGCTAATATTGTTTCTCAGTTACTGAAGGCTTTTTGTTATGTATTTTTCCCTCTCTTCTGGTAATACCTGCTCTTCAATATGTGTTGCTGAAATTCGTGTATTTGACAAGCATGCAGTTCCTTATACTGACTCATTTTTAATTACATACTCCTTACACTTGCTATACCCATATAAATGTTTATACTTCCACACATCAAGTTATCTTTTTATGACCTACAGATGATGCTTTCAAAGTTGTTTTGTGGTCTCAGAGTGCAGTGAAGAGAAGCACAGGTGTTGATAGAAATGGGATGCTATGCTCTGACCTTTCAAAGTCCACAAATGGTATGGATTTATAAGGAGTGACTTTCTCAGGGCTTTGGGAGACAGGCATCTCAAGGGATTTCTGGAAGATTTTTAAGAGCTGAAAACTCCACTGCCTGCAGAGGGCATATTTCAAGGGCTGGAAACACATCCAATGATTTTCTTTTAAAATTCTCTTTTAGGAGGATGTGTCTCACTGGAAAATATGTATGAAGTATTTCTGACTTGCTGCATTGTTAGCTATGTGACATATATCATTGAGATGTCTTTTGTAAAAGTCTTATGAACTCCTCCAGCCTCATCTTAGCATTTCTGTGGTCTGGTTAGGACTGTTCCCAGGTAGATGTTACTGCCAGAGTATCACGCAAGATGAAGGTCATACATAAAACTCTACCTTGATATAGAAGAGTTGCCAATCTGCTGGAATTTCCAAACAGACACGTCCAGACCTTATAAAAGCAAACAGTATAGGTCAGATTTTCGTACCTGGATTATTTCAAGTCAGAGTGTGCCAGTGAGTATAAAAGTAGACAGCCCAGCTCAGATTTGGATTTCAGTGTGAGTGCCATACAAGCAAATCCCTATGGGAATAAGAGAAGTGTCATCTTCCTGCAGAGTTTATCAGTTTAGTTTTTCAGATCTGGAAGACGTGTCTTAAACAGGCAGTATATTTTTGTTGCATCAGATCTGTATGTGATATTTAATAAATTTACTTTTTCTTTTTTTTTTTTTTTTTGCTATTCATACTCTTTTAAGTCTATGCTCGTTTTAATAGATTGCCACAAGGAAAACTTGTTCACCTTTTAGTTCTTTCTGCTAAATCTGAAGTCTGGCTTATTGTTTCCATGTTTACTGTATCTCACGGACTAAATATTAAGTTCTGCAAATGGTAATGCAGGTTCTAAACCACAACAGGAGCATGATGGGATTTTGCAAGCAAGGTCCTAGAGTCCTAACTGCAAACTGCTGAATTATCTGCCTTCTGAAATGGAAAGATGCATTAAAAGTCTGCCTAATGTTTGTCTAGATGTGCTACATTCTGCTTTTCATCAAAAAAAAGTAAATGTAGCTAAAGAACTCATCATGTATAAAACCAACAAAATTGACCCAATATGCTTCTCATTTTCCTTTGGCAGATCTTCCAACATAGATCTGGCCGTCAATGGGGGTTTCCATTCATGCCTACAATGTTTTCCATAGCATGGCATCTCAGCGAAGTGGAAGGCATATGACAGTTCGGCTTTTTGGCTATGGCATGCCACCATGGCATCCCTCAGTCAAAAGCACTGAGTGACATGCCTTTCTTGCACTGCCTGGCATGCAATGTGCAATATGTCAAAAAACACTGCTGCCCCTTCCATATGGTGTATTATCAGATTCCTTTCTGTTGTATTGTTTTCTTCCACAAGCTATTAAATATAGTGGAAGATATTTTATATTTAGATTGGCCACAGGCATTGAGTAAATGCTTCTGCTCATTCAACAATGTGCTCATTGTGGGCATGTTCTGTGCTCCAGTAAAGCCCTCTGCATGAAATCACCCATGGGAAATAGCCCTGAGCATGGTGGAACCTGGACAACTTAGCTGCAAGCAGGGGAATTCTTGAATTACAACCTGCTGGCATATTTACTTCTATGTGTTCCCTTACAGTCAGCCATTCCTAGCTGTCACGCTGGCCCCTGAAGACTGCTGGAAATTGGCATGCCGAGGTGGAGCAGCACTTCGGTTGTTCTAGTCGTGTCAAGGTATTGGGCAAGCCAGTCACGGCTGGCAGAGCCCAAAGCTGCTGTAAGTCACTTTTCCATGCATCATTCTTATGCACGTGCTTTGTGTGCTCTGCATAAAGCCATGGCTCTGAGCCATTTTCCAGACTCGCTTATTCCTGCTTTCCATTCTCAAAGAAAGTGTCTATGGTTTCAGGTAAGGTATTTTCATAAGCAAGATGAGCATGATTATGCCTTTTGTTTGTTCAGCAGAAGCAAATACTGCATCTGAACTGCAAGTCCAATAGACAGTGTCCCATAGCTATGGCGTGTTAATTAGTACTGGTCCCTCTGTTTCGATCTTTCATTTAGGCGACAAATGCACAAAGCCCTCTTTTGGATGAAGAGTACCTTATTGCTTAGGTATCCAACAGGACCACTGTGTTTTATTTAGTCTGAAAACCTTTTGAAGTGTTGTCACCAGGTGCCCAGCTGTGATCCTATGATTGGGTACCAGTTTCAGACAAGAGCGTGTCTGCAATTACTGCGTAGGCTAAAACTTCTCACTTTTGGTCTCATTTCATCCCACTGCATTTCTTTTCAGTTACAGGCACGTGTGATGCATGCACTTGTCTACTTTACATGGGTGGTTTTATTACTGTAACAGAGAAGCTGTTTAGCATGAAGATTGCTGGTTTATATCCACTGGGATTGGATTATACTACTTTTTGATATTACATTTTTACAGATACATCAGTGATAGGAAGCTGTCTGGCAGGCATCTTTCAAAGCTGAAACATCAGCTGCGTTCTTTACTGACATTACCTTCCATGCTAGGTCACTTGCTTTTTACTAAGTCCTTATATTATATGTGCTATATTGTTGGATCATTCTAAAAGGACAGCCTGAGAGAAGCCAGGTTTAGTATTTATTCAGCCTGCACTTCACCTAACAATCTCCAGTTGACGCTCAAATCACGTCTACCTTTACGGACAAAATCAGAACACTATGAACAGATGCACCGCTTTCCTTCTGCAACTAAAATCACAGATAATGACTTTACTAATACTTTTTAGCCCCAGCCATTAATGATGCTGCTGAAATCTGCCATTTGCTTTGGTCAGTTTGTTTCAATTCCCTGGTTTTCCTCTTACCTTTCTTTCCCTGATTTCTCAAACCTTATCTTTCTGATGAAACAGATGTCAACTTGCTATGTCTTACAGTGTTACCGAGTATTACTGCATGCAGATACGTTCCTGAGCAAGTGTGGCCTGATTAAAGCATAGAGTAAGGAGAGCTGTATTGGATTCCCTGCTGTTTTGCAGTCTTCTTGCCTGTTCAGAGGTAAACATTTTCAGCCAGGATTTTTTAAAGTGTATGAGAGATGTAGGACAACTTTTACGTAAACCATCCTTAAAAATGTTGTACCTCAATTCAGTAATATAATTTCTTTTCAGAAGCTATTGCGAAGATGCTTTCATTAGTGGCATACCGTGGTACTGTGGGTGGAGGTACTGCAGCTGGGCTCACAGAAACCCTGACGTTTTTCATGAATGGTATAGGCTGATCTTGTTATGCTCTCGCCTTTGCTATTTCAGATGGCTGTTGGCTTTCTAAACACGTCAGAGGTTTAGAAAATAGAAACAAATCACTGCAATGCAGCTGTGAATGCACTAGGTAACACTGCCCTTCTTAAATGTTTAAAACTGTGGCCTTTTCATAGTTATAATGGCTTTTCCATGACAGAATTATTTACTTCCTAGAGAAAGTGATGTTATGCAAGTTAGATGATAATGAATTTCTGAGCCAATATCAGAAGAAAAGGATTAATGCAAAGGTAGGTCCTAAGGGACACAAAAATAATTGTATTGTGATTATCTCTTAATGCAGATAAAGCTACTACGTTTTCTTTTTGCTCTACCTTTGATGATGAAAACAACAGGAAAAGAATACCACCACCACAAAGTCAGTGAGACACCGTGATATGACTCAGCGCCTGGGGCTGACTGCAAGTACCTACAATGTTGATCCTAGCATTTGTCGCTTATGCGTAAGTCAGTGCCTAGAAGCCGCAACGTGCAGAAGCTGACAGAGCTGCTCCTCTGCGTGCAACAGGACCAGATCACTGGAAAGTTAAAATATGAAGACTTTTGCTGTAGGCATGGGGCTCCTTAATAGAGAAGATTTTGTAAATTCTCACATAGAGCAATGACTTGAAATACTAGGG